GATCTTGACAGCTTGCTGTCGATGGGAAGTGAAGCCCATGCATCCTTGTCAACAGACAGTCACCGGTAGTGAAATCTTTGTTCCCTGTTGCTCTCTGTTTGCTACAGTGATTTTCCCACCCTTGGGGTGGGGTTTTAGCCACTTGCCTAGAGTTGCGTTGCAGTGATTATTTCTGGGGGAGTCCTGCTTGGTTTGTGCAGCAGCATGCCCAAGGCTTGTCTCCTTTCTCAACTCATTTCTTGGTACTTCTGTACCACGCTTCCTTAGAGATGGCAGATACCAGAGAGATTGTGGTACTGAGCATGACAGAACACCAGGTGATTTGAACGGTGTGTGCAGAATGGGAAATGACTGCTTTTTGGGAGACACAGGCCACCAACACTAGAGCAGCTAGAAGAGATTTTGTCATACGTTAATTACAAGGGCAGGTCACCAATGGCCATATTCAGCCTCCCTCATTTACATGAGTGGTATCATTGGGATCGAATGAGACGAGGGAGTTGGAGACAATTCCTTGTGAAGTAGGATGCTCTTCAGTATGAAAAAGACTGCCAAAATCCGGCCCCTTAATAAAAGTATTTGGAATAACTTTATTGCATATTAAGATGCAGCGCTATATTTAATTCTGTATTTATTTTGAACTGAAGCGGTGCTTTGAAAGAGAAAAAAGGTGAGAAATATCAATGACAGCTGCTGAAATGATTGTTTTGATTGCCACGCTGGACTTGGAGTGAACTCTGCAGTTCCCACCAGCAAGAAGATGATTTACGTCAGGACCGGCGCATGTGGAAGTCGAGGGGAAGATTCACATCATGCCTAATTCAAGGCAATGCGAGGCAAGAGCTTGTAGTTGCTTGTTCTTCATAAGCTACATACTACTGTGACAGTAGATATTTACAGGGCAGAGAGAGAAGTTCTGGGAGCGTTTGGCACTTAGGACAACCAGGGGGAGCTCATCTTGAGAACTGCTCTCCACCACTCCTGGAGGATATAAGTACATGGGACTTACACCCATTTGAACAAATGCTCCTGGATGGACCTGCGTGGGGTTAGAGCCTTGTTTCTGCATTCTCCCCAACTTTTCTGAGCTCTGGGAGGCACAGGACAAACTGTGGAAGTCTTTGTGGGACCTCCTTCAGGTCATGCTGGAAGTGGTGATGTAGCACAGGATTGCCCCAGTTCCACTGGCCTCGTGTTTTAGCAGTGCTCTGAAGGGCAGAGGCATCTGTAGGTTGTTTTAATGTGATAACAACTCTCTAATGTCTTGAGATATCTCTCTAATACCTAATATCTCTAATATCTCCTTGCAGGAGTTTGCATGAAAAGCCTTTTGGAACTCTGAAACTACAACTTCAGGTTAACAACTCCTGGTAGAACATTAAGGTTTCAGAAGAGGCCAAAGGAGATGGGCTTTACAGGATCTAGCAGATTTCTTGTAAGTTGTGAGTGCTTTTGAAATGATAGGAGACTAATAGCAAAGGCAGCTCTGCCAGGAAAGGTTTTGACATCAGTTGCATTAAGAGGACATTGTCAAATAGGTTCTTGGGATGGTTTATAGCCTTTACGACTCTCCTAACCGTGTTCCTTTGAAGGTGAAATCGGGGTCTGATTTCTAGCTCATCTTACAGTGAGAAAACCCATCTCCTTTCACCTGGCAATCCTTTATTGCTTTTCTTTTCTTGTTACTAATGGTGCTTGAAAATAACTCAAAGTTTGTATCTGTTGCCTTATGCCTGTGCTTGCACTGTGTCTGGTGTTTTGATATTTCTGAAAATAAGCTTTGCTGCCTGTTCACACACCATCTGTTGGCTTTTAGAAAAGGTATTAGGTATGACTTGCCAGATAGTCAATGAGTCTCCTTACATCTGCCTACAATCCCTTTCTAAAGCCCATTGGCCTGTGCTGTTCCTGCCTCCCCAATATAATAGTGTAACAGGGCAGATCCTTGAGTAAGTAAGTGCCACATTGCATGGGTAAGTGTGTGTACATAACCTAACACAGGAATAATGTTTATGGGACCTGCATTAACCGTGGCTATTTTTAAAACATTTATTTTTGTTGGAAGAGAAACTAAAACCAAATGGAGTGCAGAGGCCATTTCTCAGTGGATTGTGACCACCCTCCCTCCCTTGCAGCTCCCAGATGTCAGATTTTGGTCACGATCAGCTTGAAAAACTTGAAATTTTACTGCCTGACAAACTTGATGTGCTTGGTTTTGTAAGTGCAAATAAAACCCTAGTTAGTCTTAACATTTTTTTTGTATGCATATTAATACTTCCCTATCTGCTTTCGCTGCTATGCAATGATTTGTGCAGGGTGCTGCAGTTTAATACATTAGGACAGTAGCATTTTAGCTTCTACATCACCACATGTTTTTCAGTTAATTTTCCTCAAACCACTGCAGTTATGTTAATGCTACAACTTCCTGTTTGATTTTTGATTTTATATGCCTATCCTATGCCATCCCATTAGTATTAATAGACACCCCTGATACTCAGTGGCACACAAAAATATCATTTGATCATTTGTGGCTTTCTCTGATGCATGCCGGGAATGCTATATTGCACTTTTCCAGTGTGCTCATTATTTTATGATAAGCTCAGCTGTCAGTCTGGATTTCTATTTCCTCTGTATTTTGTGAAGCTCTAAGAATATCTGGCAGCTCCAACCTGAGTGTTTGCATTGCGCTTCAGCTAAAACAGACTTCACTTACTTTAACCAGAGACTTGTATAGAGGCTAGCGCTCTACAGCAACCTACATGAGCTAAAACAAAGTAATCATCCTGTTTTATTTCCACTGAAGTAAATGGCAGCACAGTGAAACTCTAATTTTCCCTGAAATCTGTTGAAAGCTTTTTTTTTTTCGGTTTCAGTGGACTTCTAGTCATGTTGTAAGCCAACAAACATTACCTAAATATTTATTTATTTAATCCACTCCTAGTTTTCCTCATATTCCCCTAATATCTCTTTACGCGTTATAGTTCAGCTGATTGCCAGTGTCCCAGCTGCGCGAATACTCACTGCTATGCATGGGGACGGCAAGACAGCCGCCGCGGCACGACATGAACTCCTTCACCGGGCTCCAGCGCTGCCCTTGCTCTGAGCTGTGCTTTATCAGCCAGTCCGTTTGAAACAAACGGCTGGGACATAATAAAACCAAATATCAAATACGCACAAAGAATGCTAGCAGTGAGGAAATCTTTCTTTTGTCTGTCTTTGATTTAGCACAGCTCTGTTTTCATCCACGCTTGTGTGCAGTGGGAAAGAGACGGTGAGTGACAGCCTGCTGGGTAACAGTAACAAGGCATTTGCCTCGAATTTGATCATGTTTGTCAGAGAGAACTGTTGATTTCTACCTGAAAACATTTTGGGGTGTCAGATCTGGTTTCTGTAGGTGTGTCCATGGTAAACAGAATTTGTGCTAAGGGAGGAGCTTGGATCCATAAGCCTCAATGACTGCAAGACTGGGCACTGCATCATGCTCGTTCCCTTCTCTGCACCAATGGTGCAGTTCCTGTGGTCCTGCTGAAGTCGCTAATTGCTCTGAGTAACACCGGGTCTATAATTCACCACTAACCGTGAGAATTTTTCTGGTTGCATGTGTGTACTCAGCCATGCCACGGTGCTTCTGGAGGGGAGCAGGCTGGCAGTCCCCTGGGGTGGGGTGTGTGTGGGGGGGTGCGGGGCACGTGTCCCTGGGCTGGGAGGGTGTAACTGCTGTTACTTGCTTACTCCTAGCACTTCTGGAAATGCTGATTACAGACACTGCTTTTGCAAGGAGTTACATCAGAGGTCTTGAAATCTATATTTGCTGGCACTGGGGTTTTCTGCTTGGGGAATGAAATCCGTAACAAGACAGTCTCATGGCATTGCCAGGGTACCCGAAGGCAGATGCAAGTAACAAGACGCCCTTCGAGTTCACCTCTGAGCATCTGTATCGCTGTGATGTGCAAAAGTACAGGCTCCCTGGAGAGGCTTTAGTGAAAAGGCACACTTTCTTCAACAGCAAAGAGAGCTAACAGGCAGCTTGCCTTCCCTTAAGGTCTGGACTTCCCATCTCTGTGCTATCGGCTGCAGCCCATCATCTGCGACTCGGGTGAAAGTTCACTCCTGAGGACTGCAGCCACGCTGCAACTTAAACAGCACTCACAGTAATGAAGACGGAAAAACGGGAGCAAAGAAAGAAGTAATGAACGGGAGGAGGGAGACTACAATAAATCAACATGTTTACAACTCCACTTTGATGAGTTTTTTTACATGAGATACTCCGTAAAAAAAAAAAAAAATCTTAAGGCAATTGCATCACCTTAGAGCACTTGAAGTCAGGGTGACCTTTGGCTTTTTGTTTTTTGCTATTTTCATCTGCTGGGTGAGATGTAGAAATCCAGCTGATCTATAAGGTAAATTTTCAGTTGCCATGGCAATGAGTCTCGTTCATGTTCTCAGTTTGGAAAAGAGATTGTTCCACGCTGCTATTTCATGTCTAGGGCAAAATTCTTTGGTGGCAGAATTTCTTTGTTTCAGTACATTAATGCTACAACTCTGTTCTTCCTTTCCCAGCTTATAGAAACATGGCTCAGCCTGAACATTCCCCTGTTAAAATACAGTTATTTGCATTTTTTTGTTGTAAGAACATTCCTTAAGTCTGGAGGTAAATGTTGATCCATTTTGATAGCTTGGGTGCAGCAACATACTGACGCTGTGAAGTTTCACCATTAAGTGAAAACCAACTGGAATCACTCCACCTTTGCTTCCATATAGTTTGAATGAACTAAAGTATATCCTGAACTAGCGAGTCTTATAAAAGAAAAGTAATTTAAAGGTACATCCTACCTATAGTGTATATCTTACATATTAGATTTCTACAGATCTCCATGTGCTTTCAGTCAATTCAGATTCAATTCCTAAGTACTGCAAATACCTAATTTTGATCAATTCTTGCTTAAGGCCATAAATGGAGTTTCTCTCGTTTCTTACACCACCCTTAGTTCTTTGTTTTTCCAGACACCACCTTCACCTTATTCCTAAGGTGAAAAGTCAAGCAGGAGCAGGCGTCCTGGTTTCTGTTGGCTCAGTGCAGTCTGCAGTAGTGGGAACAGGCTGCATACAACTCTGGAGGATAAGGAAAGCACATAGACATGAGTTGGCCTAGTGTGATACAGCTTGGAGGTTTCACAGAACGGAGGGCTCCTATATTTGGGTAGGAAGGACCCCTTTCTGGTCATGTTCCCCATTTCAGTTGCATGTGACCTTCGTTGCCTTTCTAACCTGCTTGGTTTCATTGAACTCATCTCGTTTTTCTTTCAAAGTGACTTCACACAAGGGTGCAGCAGCTGTGGCACTTTGCACAACGCTTCTTCTTCTTCTTGGGGTGGAAAATGGTCAGGATTGCCTCATCAAAGACAGTCTTAAGGCCTTTCTGCGTGAGGGCTGAGCACTCCAGATAGCACTGTGCTCCGATCTGAAAGAGAGAAAACGTGAGTACGCACTGTTGGGAGAGACAGAGCGACCTGTTCCACCATCCCTCTACGTGCATATGCGTCCAGCCACAGAGGGAAGCCCAGACCTTTAGAAGGGCGGTGAGGTCATTGCTCCGTTTTGTATCTTGCTGCCTATGGGACTAAGGGACAAGCTCAGGTGGTCATCCTGAGCGAGGGAGGAGGGATGAGCATCAACACCAGTATCTCTATGGGGAGCAGGAATTCCCTGCAGGACCCTCCACAGAGAGAGGGAGGCTGCGCCCGTGTTCGAGTGCTGGACCAGCAGCTTGGGCTCTGTGCCGCTGAGAGGTTTCAAGGAGATGCCGGGTCATTAGCTGAGCCCCTTCATATGCTTGGCTCTTTTCCCCTGACCTGTCACCCCCGTGTCCTGTCTCCTGCAACGCCAGGGAGCTGCTACCTGGGGGAGGGCTTCCAGCTGGTTTCTGGGAACTGGGAAGCATTATATTGAGATGGGAGTCTCCTGGGGGTGCTGGTATGACACAAACACACACAGTGGCCCGGGAAAGCAGCCTCAGCTTATTCAGCAACCTTGTTGCTTATTCAGCTTATTCTGCTAATGGATGCTCTCACTGGCCTTGGAGGGCCAGGGCTTGTAACAGCATCTGCAGCATATAAGGTGGAAATGGCTGGGGTCCAGATGCCTGCATTTCAGGGCTTGGGGAGGGCTTTTATCCCCCTACCTTCCTGGGAGAAAGGTGCAATAGCACAGAAACCTTGGGACCTCCTTCTCTGTTGCTTGAAGTGCAATGGATAAGTGAGAATCAAGTTGTCTGTGTTTTTGTAAGGGGTAGGGACGAGTTTGGCAGGAGGTGACTGCAGAGAGGGGTTTGCCACTCACAGGGGGTGTCACTGTCAGGTGCCACTCGCACCTCCTGACAGAAGCCTGAACAAGAAACACACTTGACTTAGGTAAAGGAGGCAGTAAAATCTGTTTTGCTGCCCATTTGCCACCTGCTTCCCTGTGTACCTCGCTGCTTTGCTTAGAGCTCGATTGGGTATCGCAGCAGAACAGCAGGCTCGGGAGCCGCAATCTGTGTCTGGGTCCAGCCTGGTTGAACAGAGGCTTTAACCTCTGGCTAGGACCAACCAATGTGCCCCAGAGGAGTTCACCTTGAACGAAACAAACCCAATGGAAAGCTGTGATCAATCAATTTCAAGGGACCTCAGAAAAACTATTACCTCCTTTGCGAGCTTCACTCCGTGCTCATAGGTGAGTGGTTTCTCCTTCATGTAAAGCAGCCGAGCCAAAGTTTTGGGGTCATCCCGGAGATCAATCTAGTAGAAAATGCAAAACCCTGTGCTCAGTACTGCCTTGCTGTAGTTCTTGAGACAGATATTCATAGCTTTACAAACCCACAGTCATGTTCTTACATAAGGGCATCTGTCCTCCTCACCTCAGATGATACTTCAGAAATGAATTGCACATGTATTTTCCTTTTTTTCTTTTTTTTTTTCTTTTTTTCTGTTTAACATGAATTAATTCTCCTTGGCAGGTTATTGGACCACAGCTCAGACAGCTGCGGTACACTAAAGATACGGTTCTCAATGGCTCTCACAATGCATCTTGGAAAGTGTCGATGGAAGCCTGAGTTTTTCTTTTTCTGTTTAACATGAATTAATTCTCCTTGGCAGGTTATTGGACCACAGCTCAGACAGCTGCGGTACACTAAAGATACGGTTCTCAATGGCTCTCACAATGCATCTTGGAAAGTGTCGATGGAAGCCTGAGCCACATTGGAAGGGGAGGCTGCTGCGACCCTGCACTGCATCACCCAAAACCCACCCTGACAGGCATGACAGACGCAGCTCAGTCTGACTGACTCGAAACAAAATCCTTTATTTCCATGGAAAACATCAAAGTGAAGCATTCTGGCATTTCAAACCCATCCATTTTCAGAGCGTGTGATCCAAAGGGTAATACTTTTATTTTAAAGCGGATGTTTTAGTTTATTCCAGTGTGGAAAACAAAGCCAGTGTTTGAACGATTGGACTTTGCTATGGCATGAAGATTTTGGTTTTGATCAGAATTTGATCTGTTTCTCTAACTTGGCTTAGGTTACTGTCCAGTGTTCGGGCATTTTCCAGACGGTTGTATCTCTACTTCTCACAGTCTCTAGCCACTCTGTGTCTTGGAAGCAAACCCATATGTAAGGCATTTTTATTTGATTGATAGATTCATAGATTTTAAGGCAAAAATAAAGTGGTTTGATCGTTTAGTCTAACATCCACTATAACACAAGCAGGATGGTGAGTCACTAATTGCAACGTTGATGTAAAAGCATGAAGGGAGGTTGTCCTTCCCATGTCTCTAAGTCAGTCATTTGGTTAATTATTCCCATTCTTAAAATTTAGTTTGAAGTTTAGCTTCTGCTTCTAACCACAGACTTTGATGAGTTTTTTTCCCCTCACTAAAGGCCTGTCAGAAATCTTTTCTCCCTATAGGTATTCATGCCTTGATACCACATTAATATTCATTTGAATAAAAAATAGGATGAGTTTTGCCAGTTGTGGCTAGCATGATGGGACATCTGCATGTTTGTTTCCATTCCCAGTCCCTGAGTTTTCCTCCAATGGGGAAGTCTGGCTGCATTTCACATAAGAAGTTAAATGGGAAACCTTTGCAGACAGCTCAGCCTCCAGCCACCCCTGGGGTGGAGTAGGAGCCCCCTCGCTCTGAAGACCCCCACGATGGCTGGTGGTGCCCCAGAGGAGTGTTACCTGTGTTCCTATGAGGACGTAAGGCACGTTGGGCATGCAGACTTTCAGCTCGGGCACCCACTCCTCCTGGACATTGTGGTACGAGGCAGGGTTCACCACCGAGAAGCAGATCAAGAACACGTCCGTGTTGGGGTAGGACAGGGGTCTCAGCTGGTTGTAGTCCTCCTGCCAGCGGGAAACCAGCAAGTGTGTTATATGGTGGGGGATAACTGCAACTGGGGGCATCACATTGGCTCTTGATGAACGGCTCAACACTGTCCCTCCTTGCTCATGCACGCTCATAATCTCTAGGGAGCTGCTGAGCAGAGTCATGTCTCGTGGGCCAGGGCTGCTGTTTTGTCAGCATCTTTACCCAAAAGAGCTAACACGTTTTGTTTGTGTGTATATTATCTGTGGTGATGCTGGTGTAGAGGGTAATGCTAAACAGCGGCCATCTCTGGTGGTGTAATAAAAATTGATCTTGAGGCTGCATGTACTGGCCTCAGCCCTCCGGCAATGTGATACCATCCTGGGAAGTATTATTTGACTGTCACTGCTAGCTAATAGTTGCTGATGACACACATCTTTAGGGGCTTTTCTGTTGATATTATGGGCTTTCTATTCCCCAGTAGGCATTAGAGACATGACCATATACAACAAATATGGGTCTCCAGGCTATTTGGTGCCATCGCAGTCGTGTATGGTACGCAGCAATGTGTCAGTCAGCAGAAGACACTCATCTTGAAAGCACAAAGCGGATCAAGTCCAACCTGCAGTGGCTGAGTAAGTCACTGGGGGTGATTTAGTGTTTCCACAGGCCCTGGACTGGGAAAGGAGAGATGTCTTCTCTTTGTGCTAGTAGTTGAAGAGAGTGAATTTTCAAACAGCTCAAAGCGCAACTGCATCATGTCATGAGCTGGCTTTGATAGCTGAGTTTCAAGAAAGAATTTGGGTCTGTTTCCAGGCCTGAGATGTTGCGAGCGAGCAGAGGTTTTGCAAGCCATGTGAAAGAGACAGACTGGCTCTTTCTGATAGTGAGAGTGTATGTAGCTGTGTCTAGTTGGTACTTTTCAATGAAACGTGTTAAAAAATTTCAGTACAATGAAACAGATGCTTTTAGAGGGGTTACACCTGCTCTGAAGACTTTTTTGGGGGGTCCAGAATTAAAAAAAGGGGAAAGGAACATGATGTTGGAATGTGGAGAATGATAATACACGTTGCTGTCAAGCCTGAGACCTAGGTCTTTAGGTTACAGTTTCTGCATTCTGGGCAAGCCTCAAATCTCTGCAGTACGGTCTTTTTGGTTATAATTACTTGAAACTTCAACTGGTGTAGTTCTGCTTTGTAAATACTGAAATAGTTAATAACTCAGTGAAAATGGAAAAAAAAAAAAAGATATCCAGGCACTGTTGCTCAGACTTGAGAACATTTATTTGAGGTAGGGAAAACCCACATTAGGGGCAGGAGCAATGCAACTGCTGTCTGTCCTGCAGGAGAAATTGATGCAGCACTATATCACTGTGCTCGGATTAGAGGGTGCCTTAATTCAGTCTCGCTTCTGTCTTGCTTTGGTTGGGTCAACAAATGAGAGGGCTTAATTATGAGTTGAGACTGGTAAATCTTCTTTCTGAAGTCTTTTGTTCACTGAGTGTGCAGTGATAAGATGACCCAGACTGGTTCTGAATCTACACTAGTTTCTGACAAAACTAATGGATGATGTAAAAACAGTCTGCTCCAACCTTTTCTAAACAAAAAAACTTAATTATTTATTCTGAAAGGAAGTTTCATTTCAAATTTAGCTCCGCCTCATTAAAAAGAAGTTTAAAGAAACATCCTAAACCACAAACAAAATGTTTTGTTTTGTCGAACTGAATGTTCATTGTCCCAAACCCACTTCAACAGGAAGAGTAAATTTCCAGTTACCACCTCCAGCCTCACAGCCACAGTATTTGGGGTAAAGCCAGAGTATTTGTCAACTGACCTATGTCTTTCCAGTGTCATAGAAAGTATTGATCTGAAGAAGGATTTACATGACAAGAGGAGGTGTTTGGACATATCAGCCCAAGAAAGAGTGGATTCTCCATGCTCAAAGAATGGCAGGAAAGAAAACTCAGAGACGTTTGTGGGAACATCAGCGGTACAGGCAATGAAGAAGCAAAGTCATTGGGAGGAGATTTATGCGAGGCTCTGGAGATGACACCTAGCTCTCACAGGTGAGTTACTAGAGGCAAAGTGGATGCCAACATGATGGGAGCAAAGGAGCAATTGCATTATAGAGACAGCCGAGTTTTATGTGGATGCTGTGGGTAAGGGAGGCCTGGCCTGATGCCTGCCTGATTATGGGGTGTTATTTTAACTGAGAACATCAAACCTGATGACTTCTCCAAGATTATGCCACAGTCAACATGGGCTGATACCAGGTGTTTGGCAAAGGCATTTTCTGTGTTTTTGGTTTAATTGCTGCAAATCATCCTCCTAAAACACCCACGCGGTGGCAGCAAGCCCTCAAGGAAATGTGATTTTGGATTTTTGGAAAGAAATTGGCTAAATATAACCGGTTTCAATATTCCAGATGTGCATATTTAGAGGGGCTGGAACTTACTGTTCCATTAAAATTACAAACTAAAAGCCGCGAATGCTCTGCCTGGCAGTGACAGCCACAGGAGTGTGCATTTCATTTTATTTTGCTTGTTCCTTCGGAGCCCCTAGAAAATCCTTTTTCAGGAGGAGCGTTCCCGATTTGTGTTAGCAGCACAGAGCATTATGTAAACCGTAAGGAGGGACAGCCAAGCATCATGTAGCAGAAGTCTTGTCACCTGTCAGGGCACACGGGAGCTTGCACGCATGTGTTAAAGTACAAGCACAAATGTCGTAGGTAAGAGTCGACCAGAGCTCCCATATTTCCCTGTCTTTGCGGGCTGGCAGGAACCTCCAGACCACATCAGACAAGGACCCTGTCTCTGTTCATACCTGCTCTCTAGGAGAAGGCTATAAAACCTTGCAATGGACTGTTGTGGGATATGGCACGTCAGGATCATTTCTCATTCAGAGACAGTTGGTTGTTGAAGTCAAGCAAATAAATAGAGTAAAAAAGGGACTGGACATTTGCATGGGTATGGGGCATATCCAGAGGTGCTGCAGCTAGTGACAGTGGTGTTTGGGAAGGGACATGAGTCCTCATGGGGTTGGGCTGTAGCTGATCATTAGTTTGTTTCCCTGGCTCGTGCTTGCATTTTGCTGCCTGTTATTTAGGGAGTGCAAGGCTTCCCAGTTGCAATGCCTGGCCACTGGTTTGGCATGGAAATGCCAGCACCAGACTTGGCCTTGCTGAATTATGTGCCTATGACTTGCCGGGGCCAAGAGGCATCAACCGGTGTTGCTTCCTCCCTGCTATCTCACCGCCAGCAGCTTTGCAGCGCTCGGGCCCAGAAAGTATAGCAAAACTTGCTTTTTCTATGTTGCTGCCATGCTGATCTCATGTGCGCTCCCTGTCATGTCAGCCCGTTAAAGCACTCTGCACCTGAGTCCAGCCTGGGGAAAAAAGACCGCTGTTTTTTTCCTTCTAGGACTGTTTGTGCCAGGAATGCAGAAAACCAGATACCCCAGATCTGGGGTCTCTGCCAGCTATCCCTTCAGGCTGACAGAGGGTCCTGCTGCAGGACTACATTTTCCAATTGTTATTTCATTAGGATATATTTTATAGCCCTGTAATGTCAAGCTATTTTTGGCTATGACTTCACACCAATGCCTTTGGAAAGCCACAGAACACAAGGAGAAAGAGGGAGGAAACAACCCAAATGATCTGTTGTTATAGCTTGAGCATGTGGGAAGCATCACCCTATCAGCCTCCACGGAGATACAATCTAGTCATCAAGAAGCGATTCGTGCTCTGAGTTTTGACTAGATGGCCACGTCCTCTGGACCAAGGTCTGAAAGGGAAATGAGGCTGATGAGTTAGAAATGGTGCTTGGAGGCAGGCGGTGCTCTGGCTAGTTTGAAGCAGGAGATGGCAAAATGATTATGGAGGAACGGATGGAGGGGTGAAGTTTGTCAGAGACAGGTTAGTGTTTCTTCTGGCTCAGGAGGACAAATAAGAGGATGTGTTGCTGAGGAAATGGGTGGCAGGTGGAACCGTCAGCTCTACAAAACAAGTAGAAATATTAAGGCACTGGGTAAAATCTGACTGAGAACTGAATATAACTCCAGTCTCGTTTGCAAAGGCTTGCAGTGCTGCTGGATCGTGACAGACATGCTCCGAGCTCTGTGTTTGTGAGCACAGAATAGAAAATTGGACATGCATTGAGTATGGGACAAGGACTTGTCATATTTTGGGACTGGCTTTTGGATCATCTGTTTGCATCAGTGCCAGCTCTGACCTGAGGAGCTGGTGGATGTGGGTTCCAGCCCTCCCAGGCTGGGAGAGACCTGGGACCTGCTCCCTCTCCTCTCAGCAGGTGATTTTCTGCAAAGTTTCTGTGCAGATGGTGGTCCTTTCTTTATTCTGCCAGTTGCTGGCATTTGGAGGCAGGAGAGGGAAATTTCACCATGAAAGTGTGTTCCTCCCTGTACCCTTTTCTGCCCTTCTACTGCCAGAGCAAGGCAGTGATAAATACTTTCTCCTCCTCTCCAGGGGGTGAAATCAGCCCACAGACCAGAGCTCTTCGGCAAACTTTTAGTGCAAGCACACTTGCTTGCTTGTATCAGAACGTGGACAGTGGAAAGAGTAAAAGCATTATATATGTAAGCAAGCATGGGGCACAGACTCTTTTGTAATGGACACCCTTGTCCTGCGAGGATGCAGGGATGGGTGCCAATCTGGCTGGGTTACCACTTAAAAAGTCAATAGCTGGTGACCGGTAGGCTGGTGCTGCATTATATTAGTTTTCTGATCTTGGAAATGGCAATTCTTCTCTGTATCTTCAATGCCACCATGTGGTAAATATAAGAAAACACTGACTTTATATGAAACTTCATATTTGCAGTAGGAGGTGGATATATGGGAGGCTGAACAGCCTAATCAGGCTTCAGTTTTTTGCCTAGACAAAATGCAGTCTTAGGGATGAGTATTTGTGTGTGTTTTATTGCTGAACCAGAATGAAATTTCTACTTAGAAAACAAAAAGGAGAAGGTCAGCAGTTCAACCATTATGACTCACAACTGATTGTTAATATTTGTAAAAAAACCCCCACAAACAGCATGAACAACAAACACCAGTATATGGTAGTAACAAACAAACCATGGCAAAGGAAACTTATAAATGTTTTGCAGTAATTTACCTGCCCTGCAGTGTCATAAAGTCCCAGTAAGTGTTGTTGTCCTCCCACAGTCACAGTTACTGGAAGAGAGAAACAAGAGATGTTGTTTATGCACAAGCCAGTGGCCTCATTTTTATGTGTTTTAATCCTAAAATGCCAATACACCCCTGTGCTAGACACATACCTTACAATATGCATCCTAAACCAAGCACATAGATTCAACCCAAACTGAAGGCAATCTAAAGTCACAACAGAAGCAAATGCTTTATGCCAAGCTCTTATTTCTTCACAAACAGATGAGCTGCACACATTGCTGCTATCAGAGACCCGGACAGCAGTGGACATTTGCTTCTGTCTCTGCAGCCACCAGCAGGCCCCCATGAGGTTCTAGGACTTGAAAACACAGGATTCCTGCCTCCCTGCCGTGAGCGTTGAGGTAGGTTTGTCATGCGTCATTGACAGGGTTTTTTTATTATTTTATTAGTTCCAGGCTGTGAAACAGTGAAGCATTCAGGAGAGGTTGATGTTTGGTGGGTCTCAGTGGAGGTGCGCTGCCTCTTGGGCAACCTGTCCTGTCCCATGTCGTGCAATCGCAGGTGGCAGTGCTTAACACATGGGGCTGTGTGGTGGATGCTTTGAAGGACAGGGAGGAAGAGGAGCACTAATATTTGCAGGGATGTTGAACAGATTCTGTTGCAAACAAAGGAAAGCATGGCTTAGTTTTTTGATCACACTCAGCATGTTTACTCCTTTAGTAGAATTCACTTTGAACTTCATTTTGAGCCCAGTGACATTGATGAAAATGTTTTCTCATTGCCTTTGGATGAACCCCATTATTAGCTGATCTCTGTAATCAGTGTTATTTTGTATAAAGGATAAGATCTGTGTTAATGACATTTAGTTAACCAGTTAATCTGCTTAAATCATTACCACTCAACTGGAAAGAAAGGGGGGGAATCCAGTTCCACCCATTAGTCAACAGGAAGACTTGAAACATTCATCAGGAAAGTTGCTCAAAATAATGGTATTCTTGCCTCCCATGGACTACTACTTTTTTTAAGCACGAGGGCAAACGGCTGGTATGAACATAGAGCTACGGCTGGGGGGGAGGCTAGCACTGGTGCCTGTCGGCCAATAACAACTTGCAATTCAGGAGGGCTGGAAAAGATTAATAGTTACTTTTGGCAAAGAGGAGGCTTGAAAACATCACACAGGTTCTTACTGATTTTTTTTAAAGTGATAAGACTTTTGTAGGAGAAAAGCACCTACCAGCAAATAGAAGTTAATAGCTCCTGCAGTGGGGAACAATGTCCTGTTTGAAATCTCTTAGACTTGAGGTCTCTGTCAGTGTGGCTGGACAGACTGATTATTCAGCAGCTTTACTTGCTTGCAAAGCGACACGGTAATTTTGCTAGCATATAAACAGAACAAAACTGACATCCTGAAAGTACAAAGGCTCAGCGAGGACCAGACTTGCTGATGAGAGCAGGACGGGCCGCACACACCCGCTGCTGGGGCTGCCTTGTGATGTGCAGGGGAAAGAGGAGATGGGAAAGGGGCTGAGAGCCTTCCTCCCGCTCCTCAGTTCAGGAGATAGCTTGTACACAGTGCAGCTCCCAGGGGAACTCAAAATGGGGCTAGCTGTTAAGCATGGATGTCCACGGGTGGAAGAGCCAGGGAAGAGCTACCAGGGTGGGGAGATGGGTACCAACGCAGACAGGAGACAGTCCAGACACCCTATCCCCTTCCTTCAACCTGACTTGAATAAACTAATTTGAATGAAACCTCCCCAGAGCCCTGGTTTTCAACTTTTTGTGGTGTAGGGAGTCTCAAAATGTCCCAGTAGAGGTATGAACTGTGTAAGTCTACTGACAATACACTTGCTTTTCTTAGCTCCCTTCTCAGAAGCAGTGGGGGCCACAGGTGGTCCTGCACAGCTTACCGGAGGCAGCCGGGAGGTGTGAGGTTTTTTCCAGTTGCAGCCTTGCCCAGCCTTCAACCTGCCCGTACGCCAAGAAGTGCAGGAGCCAGACCTGTTCTGTTGATTTTACTCTGCTCAAGGACCGACTGTGGGAAGATGTGCCCTTCAGCTGAAGGCAATTTTCCATCTGCGATGCATTAGCCATGCAGTGCTCAGCTGGCCGAGGTGGTGTTTGGGACTGCATGTGAGCATGAGTCGCGCTGTCAGTCCTTGGTTGAATTTGTATTGGAGTCTGCAGAGCACCTCCAAAGCAGGATGCTCATATGGCAACTGTGTGGCGATAGGGCGCATGGAGGTGCAAGTGATGTAATGTGTACGACGAATGCGAAGTGACTATGTCAGTACTGACATAGTTATCCAGCTTTGACGACGAATATGAAGAGACATTTGCCTATGTCAGTACTGACATAGTTATCCAGCTTTGCCTCTCGTGCTGGCTAACCCTGAGCGCAGGCAAGCTGAGCTGGGCCCTGCTTGCAAAAGATCAGCTCAGGTATTCAGTGTTTTAAAAACTTAAAAGTCACACTGAAATTTACTCTGTCCAGGCTCAGGCTGCTGTGAAGCTTTGCTGGCCCGTCCCTTGGCGGCATCTGACTGGCAGAGGTACACTGGCAAAAAGCCCTGGTGCAGATACAAATTGCTGTCTTGTTCCAGTAGTTAAGATGGTTTGGAGATCAGCTGTTTGGATAGAGGTCCAGTCCACCTCCGCTGCGCTATGCTTTGCCAGAAGGATATGCTGCAACAGCTCCTGAACGATTATCTGTGCTCTGTGGTCCATGAAGTCACGGTCGATGTTTTGCAACAGGTCTGTGGAGCCACACACTGAATAGTTATTGATAGTTTGTACAGTTCAGTTTGGCTCTTGGTGACCTCTGGGAAATGCTGACAGGGAATAAAGAGCTGGTGGTGTCCTACCATTACTCTTCACATACACAAGGGCTAAGAAATGCAAGGGCTTTTGGAAAAATACACCCTGAGTCTCCCCAGCTTGCACATCACATTTTAATTCTCCTTACAGCATCCTGCCTCTCATGGGTCCTGCTGTGAATTTCTGCATGGTACCAGCCCCTTTTTCTTTTTCTTTTTCTTTTTCTTTTCTTTTTCTTTTTCTTTTTCTTTTTCTTTTTCTTTTTCTTTTTCTTTTTTCTTTTCTTCTTCTTCTTTTTCTTCTTCTTTTTCTTCTTCTTCTTTTTCTTCTTCCTTCTCTTTTTCTTTTTCTTTTTCTTTTTCTTTTTCTTTTTCTTTTTCTTTTTCTTTTTCTTTTTCTTTTTCTTTTTCTTTTTCTTTTTCTTTTTCTTTTTCTTTTTCTTTTTCTTTTTCTTTTTCTTTTTCTTCTTTCTTCTTTCTTCTTTCTTCTTTCCTTTCTTTTTTTTTTCCCCATCAAACTTTGTGCTTTCTTTCTTCTTGTCGATTGTTCTAAACTATCTCATTATCAGAAGATATCCTTCCTGTCCACATCACCTCTCTAAGTTTACAGCTACCATCCCAGCAAAACCGTCTTGTTGGCTAAACTTCAGCAACAGGCACACTGCTGTCTTTGGATTCCTGGCTCTGAATGCAGTGGGGACCAAATGGCTCACACTGACAATTCAAATAATCACTGTGTCTTGAAACAGCAACGTCTAGATTAATGTATTGGTGCTGAAATTTCCACCACACTTCCGTGCAGGCAAAACAGATGTCAAAATAAATGGCTTTTGCCTGTGAAAACATCATGGTATTTTTATACTAAGAGTTTATCAGTCCGCCTCTGTCAGGCAAAAGGCTGTTCAGCGTGTCCACTTGGTAGGTCGTATTTATGAGCTGAGATTGCTCTGCTAGATTTGTAGGCCTTCCTTTTGGCTTTATCTCAGTTTACTTTTACTTACCTTCTTACTATCTTTTCCTGTTCTCTCAGTGGCCAAACCTATGGGAAGCCAATGTGGAATTCCTTCCCAGTCACCGGGGGTAATGCAGGCTCCTTTACGGGCTTGTGAACTCGGCTTTATGAGCCGTCTTGAAGTAACAAGATAAATACGAACTCTCCTTGCCATTTACTGGCCATATTGATATATTGATTAAGCACTGAAACGGCATGGCCTTTAACACCAAGTGCAGTGGGGACTGCAATAAAATGTGGCTGAATACTCGCACAGTCCTGGCTCTCATTTGGCTCCAGTCTGGGTTGCGTCAGACTATGTGACGGGGCAGACGTTTTCCTCTTTTCACTGGGTGGTTTTAACCAACTGCAGGATGTATAAAACACCGCCTTTAAAATGTTAGTTAGATCATAACTAATCTGGGTATTGCTTGCTAGAGTTTGAGTAACCATTTGGGTCATAGCCAGGGCTTTGTCGCAGGTCTGTGTGCCTGGGGTTTTTCCTAGTGGGCTTCAACACAGAGTTCTGAAACGTGCTGTCCCAGTTGAAAGCCACAGCAGAAAGGCAAGGTGCTAGATGGAGTTATTGTGTGGGCTGGATCTGGGGTGTGGACCATGAACAGGTCTGAGCTGGGAGCTCTGTTTATAAATAAGTGATTAGTTTGTGTTCCTGGGGACAATATGACAATTTTTCTTGATATTCTTGTTGCCCAGGTTGCCCCAGATCTGTCAATGATCAGTCTTTGCCAAACTCTTCCTCCATTGTATTTCATTTGCTTGCAGCAAAGGCCTGGTGACTTTGTGGGACTGAATTTTCCCTTGGAAGAACCCTTCAGCCACACAACAGCAACGTTCACAGTCTGCACTGACAGAAAGGGGACGTAAATTGTCTGCTGCCCTCCGAGAATCTCTTGTCCTTGATTAATAGTGCAAAGCAACACATAAGTCTCTGGTATGACACCAAACTAGGATGCAAAAGCTCAGACGCACTCAGCTGTTGTACAGGAGAGTGGATGTGCACATCACAGGGAATTTTTCCATGCCTGTGAAGAAGTGCTTGCAGAACCAAATGACTGTGAAACCACTAGCCAGAATATACGCAATAGCTTAGGCAATGTCTAATGTGATACCACATGGGAGAAGGCTTCTATTTATTCTAGTGCCTTCCCACCAATAAATTAAGGTCCAGCTGTTTTGGAGAGAGATGCCAGGAGCATGACAGCAAGCAGAAATGGTAGCAC